TTGTTGTGTCCCTAATGAAAGGATCCTCTCAGGGCAGAGGAAAGTTAGGGACAGTCCCTAGGGCTTCTTGCCCGAGAGAGTTACCTACATTCAATAAATGTGATGGATGATAAAGTTCCTTCTTGTGTTTTTCCAACTGATCTATTACTGCTGGCAATGGAGTTTCTGCTACCAGGCAGCTCATAAACCTATCCAGTAACCTGTCTCATATTATAGCCTGTATTGCATGCGTTTTCTTCGGGTGTGCGAATGCCTGCTCGCATGTATAACCGCCATGTTGAATTTCAAAGGAGTCGAGAAGTTGGAGCAGGGAAGGGGCGGAGGTAAAAAGAGAAAACTTCTCCCCTCCCCATCCCCCCTCCTTCTTTTGCCCAACCGTCTACCCCGAGGGAAACCCTAAGTGTTGCTGTTACTATTCTCTCCAATTTTCCTCAGTTGTCAACGGTAATATTGACATAAATAAACAGCTTTTGCCGGACCACAAAATAGGCTTGCGTTGCAAGCACGTAACACCGTAGCACTCGAGAAGCCGCGCCCAGTACCTAGAGCATCCGATCCAGAACTCGGAGGGTCGTGCGTTCGAATCTCATGTGCAGATCGGCAATTTTTCCGAGGGAGCTTTCTATGTTAGATTTCTCTTTCTTCTATAGTATCACATTTTGAAAACGTAACGCAACTAGAACTCATACGCATACATAATAGAGAGTTTTAGATCCGAGTTTACCGCGAACCTCTAACCGCGGTTTGCGGTTACCCGTTTGCGGTTCGACGTTCAAACATAATTCGATTTAGATTGGCGGTGGATTAAACAAGTGGATTCTGGTTTATTATTCCATTTAGAAATAGAAGAAAAATTAATCAGTGAAAATAAAAGAAATTTACGGCAACACTGGGTTATCTAGCAGCAAAGAGCTATAAATTCTTACATTAGTTCTTCTTGCAATTTTACGGCCGCCATTTTGAATCAGCAGCCATGAATGGCACTTGTTTTCAAGATCCAGTAGGATTTATCAAATTTAGCATTTCGCCCGAATTTGTGCCTCTGTTAATGTATAAAGACTTGCTCCACAAGATTTTTGTATCATTACGTGGGATGAAACAATAATTATACGCTAAAAGCTTTCAGGTAAATGACATACGTGAAAACCCAGCTCCCCACGTTGAAAACGCACGTTGTAAACCTCAAACGTGACGCGAAAGACTTGTCACGTGACCTCCAGCGGTTAGAGGTTCGCGGTAAACTCGGACCTAAAACTCTCTAATGTAATCATCGCCATAAGATCAGAACTGTAAACGCTGAATTTCACATAATACTTTGCTTTATTATTTTTTTTTTTGTTACACAAACTCTTACCTCATAAATTGCTTAATTTCGCTATTTACCGTACGGTTAAGTTTAATCAGGGGGCCATCTTAAAAAGGGAATCTCCGTTGACGAGTTAATAAAATGTTCAGGTTAATTAGAAACAGCCGGCCCTACGTAGCTTCTTCATTAGCAGTTACTCCAGATGTAGAGGCATTTTGAACACGTAACGCAACTAGAACTCATACGCATACATAATGTATAATCATCGCCATAAGATCAGAACTGTAAACGTTGAAATTTTCACATAATACTTTGCATTAATTTTTTTTCTGTTACACAAACTCTTAGCTCATAAATTGCTTAATTTCGCTATTTACCGTACCGATAAGTTTAATCAGGGGACCATTTTAAAAAGGGACTCTCCGTTGACGAGTTAATAAAATGTTCAGGTTAATTAAAAACCGCCGGCCCTACGTAGCGTTCTTCATTAGCAGTTACTCCAGATTGGGAGGCACGTTATAGTATGGATGGGCTTCATTATGCTTGTTCACATCCAAATATGGTGCATCCTTCTGCATGATGATCTCCAGTTTTTCTATCATCTGGTAGAAACTGGGTCGAGCTCTTGGGTCTTCCTTCCAGCACTCTGTCATCAACTCATATCTGTCGAAGACAGTTAAAAACAAACCGATTTATAATTCTCTCAAATTAGCTCCTTAGTGCACTGTAATTTTCAGGGAGTTATAATAACTCCTCTAGTGGGGCTAATTTAACTCCTTACAGTGGAGTTATTTTTCGTGGAGTTATTTTAACTCCAAAAAGGAGTTTAAAGAACTCTTTTTCAGGAGTAAAAGTGACCACAGATTTTGAGGAGTTAAAATAACCCCAAAAAAGGAGTTATCCTGTACCTAAAATTTTTACTCCACTTTCAGAGTTAAATTAACTCCAAAAAGAGTGAAAACAACCCCTGTAAGGAGTACAAGTAACCCCATTTCGGAGTAATTTTAACTCCAAGACTGGGAGTAAAAAGAACTCTTTTTCAGGAGTAAAAATGACCCCAAATTCGGAGTTAAATTAGGAGTTAAAATAACCCCAAAAAAGGGGTTATCCTGTACCTAAAATTTTTACTCCATTTTTGGAGTTATAATAACTCCCTAAAAATTACGGTGTGGTCACGTTTTTGTTTAGGAAATACAACAACCTTTGCCTAGTCTCTGTACAGTGTCTTTCCAGTCCTGTTTCGGTCAATGCGTTTCGGCGACGTATCCGAGAAAAAATCTTTCGGACCACTTGACCCGAAACGCATCGGCCTGGCCTCATAAGGCCTAGGGACGTACTGCAAAAAACAACCCATGCCAGTCAGCGGTAATCGAAGGGAAATTGAGAGGTAAAGACTGTGGCTGGATGAGAAATGGTCAGAGATGGTAACTATACAAACTTTCAGCACAGAATCAACCACATTTGAGTTGTTTAAGACATTTCAGAGGTCTCTTAGAGTATATGCAGCTGAAGAAAACTAAACTGGTGTTGTATTCAAGCACTTTAAAGTCTGTCATAGAAATAATCCTGAGATCCTGATTTGTCAACTCACTTCTTGGTTTTTGGGTCATTATCCTTAAAAATGGATATATGGTACATTTAAGCGTTTTTGGACAACCTTGTTTGGCACCACAACAGCAGTTAGAGAAAAAAATGATCAGGCGCACGCGCAAATGGAGGCTTGAAGCGGGAAAAGGTTAATAGGCCCATCACCACTAACTGTAGGTGAAAAAAATAGGAGTCTCTGATGTTCCACAAGAATGCCACTGAAGGAGGTTGTTTTTCTTCTGAAAAGAACGCGGGCAATTCCTTTCTCGCGGGATTTACTTCATTTTGTTCGCTTGCGGAGCCAGCCGTATACATCATCAGTGACCATCAGTGGCCGAACTCCACAGCCTCGTTCACATGGTCCGAGTTTCCTTTTCATGCCCTGGAGCGAGTAGGGAGAGTAGGAGATCTTGACCCTGGGAACCAGCTGTTCGTATTCAAAGGGCAAAGTCGTACTAAGCTCTTTTTTAAAGTAAAATTTTGTTATAATTCTGCCATGATAACATATCCTCAAATCACTAGAGCGATCAACTTACACTTCATCGGAGCTCATGTCAGGTTTTTCCATTCGGTATCCAGAGCTGAGCAGGCGATACAGCTCTGTGTTGGTCAGCGTAGGGTATGGTACGCCTCCTGGATCCAACAGAAGAAGAAAATCAGTTATTCAGAAAAAGCTGGGCAGTAAGTTTGACAATCATTTTCACGTTATTTGTTCAGGTCTAAGACTGCAGAGTCCTTCAGGATAGACCATTTCCGAGTTACAAAAACCCTCACTTTCAAAACGAGTGCAAAACCTTTCTTGTGATAATGAGTTACTTTTGCATGAAAGTAAAAAAACTCATTTTCATATCAACGGCTCCACACTTAGTCTCGCTTTGAAACAGTGGGTTGGGGAAACCCTAGGCTACGAGTAGTCCCCGCATTTTTCCTAAGGGATAGTAGGGTGAGTGAAACGCGAGCGCGCGTGAAAATCACCCCACTCGATAAAAGGCTTCATTTTTCTCTCTCCCCGCCGCGTGTCGCCTTTTCTCGCGTGGGTGATTTTCACGCGCGCTCGCGTTTCGCTCGCTCTACTATCCTTGAGGAAAACTGGGGACTACTGGTAGTCTAAGGCAACCCGGACACGGCCTATTGTCTGTCGTGCGAGCATGTTACGTGTGAGGGAAGTAAGAGGCAAACGCGCGAGAGCTAGAGAAGACGGAATCTGGGAATGAACAACTGGGGCCTGGACCAAAAAAATTATATGAGTCAGTTTTTTTTATTAGAAACGAGGAAAAGCAAGCAAGCAGTTGTAATCAGGAAAGTAAATAATTGTCTAAGTATGCATACCCAGTGTGGCCATTTCCCACAGAAGTACGCCGTAGGACCAGCTAGGAAAGAAAACAACAAAATGGTTACAGAGCGATATAGTCAGACGGTCAAGGCTAAGAAGATTTTGAGGAAGGGCATTCACGCTTTGCCTTTTCTAGGTTAGTTTTAAAGAGGCCAGCAAAATCCTACTAATATCAATCAGTTGACAAAATTTGAACCCAAACTTTGCTATAATGACATGGCGTTCGAGAACTTACAAAAATATTCCGAACTTATATTCCGTGAAAAAATTACGTATTCGTCGTCGGGGATGAAAAAATCAGTTCGGAAAAGACTATTAAAAGTAAGTTAATCCATATGAGACTCATATGATGAGATCTATAGGCTAGCGTTAAACTGAAGGTCTTATTCTACTCACACATCGCTCTTGATGGTAAAGGTGGAGCGATAAAGCGATTCTGGAGCCATCCATTTGACTGGAAGTTTCTTGGACTTTTCTGAGCCCTTCACATCTTCATAGATTTGTCGCATCAACCCAAAGTCAGACACTTTCACCCGATTATCATGGCCAACAAGGACGTTACGAGCTGCAAGGTCTCTATGCACAAGATTTTTTTCGGCAAGATGGTTCTAGTTATAAAGGTAGAGAAAGGGAAATCAAGTTTTAGCATCACATAATAATTATAACAGATAACTAATATACATACATACATACATATCCTTTATTTAAACACGATATGGTTTAAAGCTCAAAGCTTGTGGGGTCGTGTAAAAAATTCAAGGAAGAGTTTATGTCCATGATCAACAGCCAGTTAGCCGTCAGTTCAGACACCAAAACTTAAATATACAAGCCAAAATTATCATAAAGTATTCTTCCAAAATCCCTTTGTACCCAGATCAAAGAACACCAGTCCTGTGAAACTTTTGCGGTTTTCGAACACTGCCGAGCAACGGCGGTCACAACATCAACCCACACAATGCTAAAGTTCTATCTGACTAAAATAGCACCATCACGGTTTTTACCGCGTCAAGGAGGCCATTACCATCAAACAAAGAAAACCGTCCCTGAATAGGGACGAGGGACTGGACCTCCCGGCCATGTACTATCCTCTCCTGGGGGAACATTACAACCTTTTTGGTATATAACCTGGCATTTTTACATTGCTGATCACGAAGGACGTTCGAGCGATTCGATCGAAATATTCAATTTTGCCTTTAACTTGTTGTTCCTGAGTTTTGAAATTTTGTAGAATAAATAATTAAAGTGAATTTAGTTGGGCCATAGTTATTAAAGTGGAATAGTAATGAAACCCGTTAGACTCAAGGCGTTAGACTCTTTGTTATATGTTTTTGTTAGCCCCTCTGGAACTCCACAATGCATTCCTATCATTTTGAACTTACTGACCAATAGAAAAATCTAATTAATTTATTCAGTCACAATTTGTGCACAAAAAAACAAGGGATTGTGCACGGTCAGGGAGCTTTCAACATAAACTACAGCACCGTTGTTTTCAACTTTGAAATTTGCCGGCTTTCATAACCAGTCTTCTCTCTACTAACCATGGTCAACGAATTAAAATTCGTTAATAACTTTTAATACGAAAAGTCTGGCTTCCTAGCTGCATTTTTCCTATAATGTTTTGTATGACGATGGTTGAATTGCTTCTCAGCCCTTTTAAGTTGTTGTTCATCGTACAATCGCCGCCGTTTCTGTTTCCCTGGTATTTTCAGTGTTTCAAAGATAACGCCCAGGTACCTGAGTTTCGATCGGGGTTTTCGAAGTCGGCCTCATGTCACGAGAGTACGTCAAGGGAATATCTTTAAATGAGTAAAAATGTGGGAAGATCGAGGGTAGCCTACTCTGGAAGAAAACCGAGAGCTCAAGGAACCGAAATGGGCGTAAAACAGAGTGTTGGCAGATCGTGTGGTTGCTTTCAAGATACCAAAACTGCAGAAAAAACTCATTTCCTAAAACTCGTCTTTTGCCGATTTTTTCACCTGATTTCATTTTATGGCATTTAGCCAGATTTGGCTGTTTTGCGCTCAAAAGTGGTTTTATCAGTAAACTTGGTACTTTTCTTGAGGGCAGGTAGATTTCGGTAGGGAAATTCTACTTTCTTAATGAATATATACCCCATACAGTTCGCCTTTGAAATCAGCGTCCATTTTTAAAGGGTTACTCTCTAGTCAAATATAACATGTAAACAAATACAGTAGCTACCATTCCCTTCGCTATTTGCCATGCAAATTTAAAGAGCTGTTGAGTAGAAAAGCTTTCCTCCTCGTCTTGTGGATCTTCCTCGAGACTTTCACTCAAAGGCGGCTTCGATTCTGTGTGATGACTTTCCACGGGTGGGTTGTTTGACATGTTCAACTGTTCTTTAGTGGACTCTTCCAATCCCTTATCCTAAATGCACAAATAGTGCAAAACATGTCAAGAAGGGTCTAGAATGTAAAACAACCCGTATTTTTGTGTAGATCAGGGAAGCGCGGGCGTGCGGTTGAACGAAAGGTCTGAAGGGACGCCCCTCAGCCGTGTGAGGCTCGCGCGCTTCGCGCGAAAATCTTACTCCGCGAGTTAGTGCCTTGTTGTCTCAGATGGGTCAAAAGGACATGGAAATTGAGGAAAAATGTTTATCATAAACATCAGCAGATTATTTCGTAGTTAACAACACAACGGCTGAATAACTAACGACGTGAAAATAATTGGAAACTAGTATATTTGTTTATTACTATAATTAATGGAATATTAAGTAATGGGCGGCTGTGGCCTTTTGACAGTTGCATATGCAGTGGTTCGTTTTGCTTTAAGGTGACAACGTCGGGGGAGAATATACAGAGACTACAGAAGTGTTATGTGAAGAAGGAATATATGAACAAAATGGCAGTGTGATGTTTGTTTATTTGTTTGTTTGTTTTTCTAGGCGCATTTTAAATAAGTAACGTCTTAAAAACGGTAAGGTAGGACTAAATGTTGTGTAATCTTGCATATTTTAACACTTATGTCCAGAAATGCATGCAATGGCGAAAATGGCGAAACTGGCGAAAAATCGCCAGCTGCTGGCGATTTGAATTGGATGCCAAAAGTGGCCCCTTGGAGGCTGGCGATTTTGGCGAAAATGGCGATTTTGGCGATTTTGGCAAAAATCGCCAGAGGGCTGGCGATATGTGGCAAAATATTCAAATTGGATGCCAAAAGTGGCCCCTTCAAAGTAGATAACTAAAGAGGTCCTTATAACTGTGAGGCAAAAGTACTAAAAAAAAGTTCAAATTACTTGCCTAATAAGAGGCCCCAATAACTGTGAGGCAACATTTATCAAATACAACTGAATCAAATATATGACAAAACAGCTTTACCTAACTTTCAAACAACATTATTTTATTAAATACAAGTGAATCAAATATATCTGAAAACAAAAAATGGAAGTCGTTTCAGTTAAGCTAATATGTATTTGTGCCATGTACTTCACAGGTTAAGTAAACATTTCCTTACTTTCGATGTCGCTTGACTTACCAAAAGTGATGTGATGCGCTGAAATATCACACTAGCATCATTTGCTTTTGTATGGTTCATTCATTTCAAAGACTTACAAGTCCACTAATTACTCGAGGAGAGAACTACCAAGTCCTTGAAATCATAATAATTCCTTGCCATGGACACTCTAGCTTTTGAGGTTCGATGTAGACCTTAACAATCCCCACTGGTTACAGTTCTCTTCACATTGGTTCCATTAAATTGTGAGGCAGCCTTAAATCAAAAGCGATTGCGAAACGCATGGTTCCTGGCTAAAAGATGCTTTCACGATAACCATTGTGCGCCCTTCATTCTTTTTTGGTTCTCCACTATACACATTATCTTCTTCCGTTGTTTTAAACTCTTCACTTTCTTCTCGCACTTACTTGTTTTGCTCTTTAGAGAAACGGTCCCCTAAAAGTAACGAAAGCCGAAATGTCCAGCAGCTTGCATGCGCCATTTTGAAATGTGCGAATTCGCATATTTCCGCTTTATGCAAATCTGCACGAAATGTCACTTGTGCCCCATATTTCACCGCATTTATTGAACATAAACATTGGATCAAGGTAATAACTTGTTTGTCTCTTTCATAAAACATATCCCATTCAAACTAATTCTGTATCTTTTCATCAACCTAGATATATAAAAAGAGAGTGTACATGTTTGTCTCGTTCTTAAAAAATGTGTCCCATTATTGCTTTATGAGGTGGGGCCAGAAATTTAGAAAATGTATTGTTTTTTTGCGCTGAGACCACCAAACCAATTCTCAGTACAATATGTTTTCCATTAAATTGCTAATGCTAGTGTTCGTCGAAACACGTCACCCGGCCTTTTTACCTTCTATTTTAACAATTGCCTGAGAGTCCCTGTGAACGACATTAATCGTTTTGCTTACATAGAGTGACCACCAAAGTCGGCTGGGAATGACACTAATCGTTTCCACTTACATAAAGTAGTTATCCAAAATCGACTATTTCAACATGGCCGCCGCGTCTATATAACAACTACTAAACCTTACACGTTCATGTTCTGTGAAACTGCAATGAACCAGCTCGTTTATATATACTTGTACGATTGAACGCCATTATAACAAACTAGCCTGTGAACAGGCTCTCTGTCTGGGGAAAAAAATAGCAAGGAAAGGGAAGGGAAGGGGGGAGAGAGCCTGTAGACACACGTTTGAGGCCGCTATTCCGCCCTCTTGTAATTATCTTGCCGAACATCTGTCAGCAAGATCGTTATCTGTCAATCAATTTCGCGCGTGAGTAACTCCTGGGAAAATTAAAGGGAAAGCATCCGTGTTTTGCTTCGACTCAAAACAAAGTGAAATGGACCGCGAGCCTAATTGTCGATTTTGAAAAAAATCGTTGATCTCCGGTAAGAGAATTAATACGGTGCCGGTCGTTGGCGTTTCAAGAAATAAGACCTTGCTGGTTGACAGTGGCCAAGACAGCGTTGTACTAGCGCAAGCATTTGATTGCTCAAGATTTCCTCTTGTGCAAGGAGAAAGCTTTTCCGATTTAAGCTGCTTAACTTGTGCTCATCGCGCCGTTCGTCTTGCTAGTTCAGTTTCTAATTCAACAAGCCCCTGCAATGAGCGAACTTGGAATGCGAAAGGTACAGATACTATCATGACTTCTCCAGAACGTGAACCTCCAAAGACAAGTACAAAGAAATCAACAGCGCTTCGATCGCCGACAGGAATTACACCTTTGGGTATTTATCCCGCATTTATAGCAATAAAAGAGGGCGGTAGGCCTACACGGCGTTTACCTCACGCCAAAATGCTGCCTGTTCCCATAAGTTTTTTCCTCTGCTCGGTAGATTATGCTCTGGAAGGTTCTACATTTTCACTGAGCAAATATGGTTTTAGCTGCTGGTTTCACACTGAGAGGTCATGGCATACATATCGATTTACTGTGGTTTTTGTCTCTGGTCGGCAGGATTTGCCCTCTCTGATGCAAGAGCATTTTCTTTGACCTCTTTTCAAGCGTAAAGCTTTTTATTGCGGCTGAATAAGGGTCGTACTTTTCTCCAAAGTGACCTCTGGATCTGAATAACTAAGCGATTTTTTTTGTAATGTTTTTCTGAAATGTTGTATCACGCTGGGCCCAGGTCGTTAGTTTTCTTTGCAGAATGTTTAAAAATTATCACAGATAGTGTGAGTCTTTTGACTGGAGCTCGTAGTTCCTCCCTTGGTAATAGCTTTTGAACAAGCTTAACAGTCTTTGGAGTGTTTTGTTATTTCCAAACGCGTGTTACGTGCCGACCGAAAAGCCGATGTCAATTAGACCTTTCAACAGTCAGTGTTCTCGCCAATAAGAACTTGCATCAGGATCTGATGCACAGCGGGTGCCGTGGAACGGCGGTCCCAAAGGCTTGTCCACAGGCCTTTTCGCTTTTCCCTCTCCTTCCCCGCTCGACCAAAGGCCTGTTCACAGGCTATAACAAACAGGATGGATATACAAGGCAATACGGACCATCTAATTATCTGAATGCGTAGCCAAGAATCAACCTGGATTCCTCATAACATATAATGTTGAACTGTCGCTATTCAAACAATGCCTACGAGCCTGGAAAATTAAGGATACCTATCTTGGAGTTTTTGGTAAGAAAGTTGCCATGAACATTACGAAGATTACCATTTACTGATAATCGAATACAACTCGTTGGCCATTCGATTTGAATTGAGCAAGAAATTAGTTGTAAGTGGTAATTCCCGACCAAACACTCTTGTCTGGGACGAATTTCAAATCACAAGAGGTTATCAATTAAAGGTAAAAGCATTAAAAACAGATTAATGACACTTAAGTTACAGTAGCGTTGTCATTATTAGTATACAATTATACTATTGGAAACATTTTTATATTAATATGTGGTTAACTATTTGGCAATTAATAGCCGTTTCAAAAGGGACCCTTTGCTATGTCATTTCAATTTGTCTTGATAAATTAGGTATTTCATCGAGTAATTGCCATTTCTCCCAAAACACGTTTTAAGAACGAGGCCAACATGCACTCTAATTTTTTTTTTTATTTTATTTTGTGGCTGATGAAAAGATACAAGATTAGTGCACACCATTTTCGCCAAAATCGTCACTTTCCAAAGGGCCCCTTTGGCATCTCATTTGCATTTTTGTTTATAATTTGGCGATTTCGGCGATTAATCGCATTTCCGCCATTTTCGCCAAATACGCCATTTTCGCCAATATCGCCACTTTCCAAAGGGCCCCTTTGCCATTGTGTTTGAATTTTTGTTTACAGTTTGGCGTGTTTGGCGATTAATTGCCATTTCTGGCATTTTCGCCGAAATCGCCACTTTCCAAACGGCCCCTTTCCCATCTCATTTGAATTTTGTTGACAGTTTGGCGATTTTGGCAATTAAGCGCCATTTCTGCCATTTTCGTCAAATACGCCAATTTCGCTGATATTGCCACTTTGCAAAGGGCCCCTTTGCCATCTCATTTGAATTTTTGTTTATAGTCTGGCGATTTTGGCGATTAATTGCCATTTCTGCCATTTTCGCCAAATACGCCATTTTCGCCGAAATCGCCACTTTCCAAAGGGCCCCTTTGCCATCTCATTTGAATTTTTGTTTATAGTTTGGTGATTAATTACCATTTCTGCCATTTTCGCCAAATACGCCACTTTCGCCAAAATCGCCACTTTCCAAAGGGCCCCTTTCCCATCTCATTTGAATTTTGTTTACAGTTTGGCGATTTTGGCAATTAAGCGCCATTTCTGCCATTTTCGTCAAATACGCCATTTTCGCCGAAATCGCCACTTTCCAAAGGGCCCCTTTGCCATCTCATTTGAATTTTTGTTTATAGTTTGGCAATTTTGGCGATTAATTGCCATTTCTGCCATTTTCGCCAAATACGCCATTTTCGCCAAAATCGCCACTTGGCAAAGGGCCCCTTTGCCATCTCATTTGAATTTTTGTTTATAGTTTGGTGATTTTGGCGATTAATTGCCACTTCTGCCATTTTCGCCAAATACGCCATTTTCGCCGAAATCGCCACTTTCCAAAGGGCCCCTTTGCCATCTCATTTGAATTTTTGTTTACAGTTTGGCGATTTTGGCGATTAAGCGCCATTTCTGCCATTTTCGCCAAATACGCCATTTTCGCCGAAATCGCCACTTTCCAAAGGGCCCCTTTGCCATCTCATTTGAATTTTTGTTTACAGTTTGGCGATTTTGGCGATTAATCGCCAATTCTGCCATTTTCACCAAATACGCCATTTTCGCCGAAATCGCCACTTTCCAAAGGGCCCCTTTGCCATCTCATTTGAATTTTTGTTTACAGTTTGACGATTTTGGCGATTAATCGCCAATTCTGCCATTTTCGCCAAAATCGCCACTTTCCAAAGGGCCCCTTTGCCATCTCATTTGAATTTTTGTTTACAGTTTGGCGATTTTGGCGATTAATCGCCATTTCTGCCATTTTCGCCAAATACGCCATAATCGCCACTTTCCAAAGGTCCCCTTTGCCATCTCATTTAAATTTTTGTTTATTATATAGTTTGGCGATTTTGGCGATTAATTGCCATTTCTGCCATTTTCGCCAAATATGCCATTTTCGCCAAAATCGCCACTTGGCAAAGGGCCCCTTTGCCATCTCATTTGAATTTTTGTTTACAGTTTGGCGATTTTGGCGATTAAGCGCCATTTCTGCCATTTTCGCCAAATACGCCATTTTCGCCGAAATCGCCACTTTCCAAAGGGCCCCTTTGCCATCTCATTTGAATTTTTGTTTACAGTTTGACGATTCTGGCGATTGATTGCCATTTCTGCCATTTTCGCCAAATGCGCCATAATCGCCACTTTCCAAAGGGCCCCTTTGCCATCTCATTTGAATTTTTGTTTATTATATAGTTTGGCGATTTTGGCGATTAATTGCCATTTCTGCCATTTTCGCCAAATACGCCATTTTCGCCAAAATCGCCACTTGGCAAAGGGCCCCTTTGCCATCTCATTTGAATTTTTGTTTATAGTTTGGCGATTTTGGCAATTAAGCGCCATTTCTGCCATTTTCGTCAAATACGCCATTTTCGCCGAAATCGCCACTTTCCAAAGGGCCCCTTTGCCATCTCATTTGAAGTTTTGTTTATAGTTTGGCGATTTTGGCGATTAATTGCCATTTCTGCCATTTTCGCCAAAATCGCCACTTGGCAAAGGGCCCCTTTGCCATCTCATTTGAATTTTTGTTTATAGTTTGGCGATTTTGGCGATTAATTGCCATTTCTGCCATTTTCGCCAATACGTGCATTTCTGGACATATCTCTATTTTAATGGATAAAATGAAATGAAGTTAAAAAAGTTTACATCATGGAGATTCTCAGAGGTCATCTGGGCGTCCTCTCTAATGACGTCACCGTCATCTTGTAATAATGGAGTCATTTCCATGTTCATTTGTGTCTGCTCTTGCTCCACCTGTTGCTTAGCATCCTTGCTTTCCTGTGTGAAATCAAAATCCGTAAACAAATTAAAAAGTAGCCTGAGAAGACATCCGTAATTCCGCGATGCCACCACTGGTTCCAGAGACAGTAAAAGAGGTGTAGCTCTCAAAAGGCCAAGCTATTTAAAAAAAAAAAAAAAAAAAAAAAAAAAAAAAATATATATATATATATATATATCTATTATTACCTTTCCCTTCGCCATTTCCTGAACAAATGAAAAGATGTTTTGATCGGTGGAAAACGACACCTCGTCATCAGTGAGATCTTCGGCCAAACTTTCCGTTGAGGCTAACGGGGCGGGGGCGTGCTGATTTTCCATCGGTGCGGAAGGGACTGTTGGCTGTTCGTCGCTGTTAGTTTTGAATCCCTTATCCTGCAGGGGAAGAGTTCGCTGCATGTAAGGAAATCGGGATTCCAGAATGCGGAAACCGGGGAATTTTTAGTGTATGGACTCCGAAATCTAGGAAAATTGTGCTTGAGAAATCCGAAATCCTGGGCTTTGGAATCCGGAATCCCAATTGGGAGTGCGAATTGGGAGATTTCCAGTGCCTGGAATCTGGAATCCACGGTTTGGAATCCAGAATCCAGGACTGTCTTGGATTCCCTTATATGGGGCTATTGAGTTGAATCAGTTGAATTTAACATTGAGAGAAGTTTTACTCTTTTAAGGAAATGACAGCAAAATTGAGGTTAGTTTATAAAATGGTCAAGCCGTTCGTTCTTACATTCTCACACAACATCTTGTCCACCTTGTCCTCATTATCATCTTGTAATAACGGAGTGAATTCCGTACTCACTTGCTTCTCCTCTTCTTTACCTTGCACCTCAAAGAGAAAAAAACAATATGATACGATAACTTTATTACATGCTTGGGAACTGTACTTGATAAGCTCCAAAACTGCTTGGATGTCAGGCCTTCTAAGGTCACTTTAATTTCTGTTAGTAAAGAGATGAGTTTCAGGTCGAAATTTATGCAATTGTGTCAACCTATTCAGATGAATTTAAGAATATAATTACCTTAACAGAGCTAAGTTTTGTGAAGTCCAATTTTTAAATAATGAACAGATACATCGGAATAAGATAATGTACCCTGGCCAATGCATCACTCGAAAATGTCATGTCATAAGCTGTGACTATTATACTCTTAGATTATGTACATGATGGTACTGTAGGACACGAATAGATGCTCGCGAAAATGGACTTTATATGGCACTGTCAACATGATAAGCCCCAATGATCTGTCTAAGCCACTCACTGATTCGACACTCTACAGGCTAAGCCATGCTTATCGCATACAAAAACCGTTTTATTGTCCTCCTGGACATGTTACTTATTGGTATCAAAGCATGTGATTTAGTTACACATAAGTTTAAAACTTCTGACTGCAATTTTAAGACCATTCGAACATAGCGTTTAGTTTACCCCTACCTGATTTTTGGCGTTTCCGTCATCTTTCAAACCCACTTTGTCGTCGTAGATTTTCTTGGAGGTTTGGCGTTTGTAGATCTACAAGATTCAGCAACATCAAAAAGTGAAAACACCTCGCTTTGGCTACTCTAATGCTACTTATAGCGTCATATTTTGTTCACACAGCAAAAGGTAATAGTTATTAACAAATGGGTCCAAGCTAAAGCTTCTAGCTCCATAGCGTTCCGAAATGAGAACTGGGAGCTAGAAATTGAGGAGGACAATTGTGGTGCGAACCCAGGAGATTAGGGGGCAGGCGAGAGAGGAAAGGGCGGGAGGCGGGTGCTTCAATAGGGTGGGAAGTGGGAGAAATAAGGATGAAATGACGCGAAAATGCTTAATATTTTGCAATCGAAAAAGGGGAAAACTGGGAATATTCCTTCATGTTTCTTAAGAGGCGTATCCTTTTCCTTCTTTTCTTCAGTAACCCTAGTTCAAAGTACATTGTAGAATTTTCTTCATTTTCTCACCCTGTTCCTTCTACAGCGTAACCATGTCAGCAGATCCCCAAAAGGAACATACTCTATCACCAGGAACTTTTCATCCTGAAGCGTGCAGCAACCAACCAAGGAAACAACGTTCGGATGTGAACCCAACTGCTTCATCTGCTCGATCTCAAACTGGAATTCTTCTTTCTGTGCTGCGCTAGGATTATCTAAACACATCAAAACGTATTGGCACGGTACTTTTTCTGTTAAATTCGACTTCCACTTTAGAAACGGGGAGGAGACTGGGCCGAGTTAGCTTTCGCAAAGGCTTCGCGCACGCGCAGGTCAGCTATTGGCCATTTTTTCCCCGGTTCCCAGAAACAGTCCCAGCAGTCTTTGCGCAAGTTAACTCGGCCCAGTTTCCTTCTCGTTTGTAAAGTGGCGAACCCAACCATATGGATCATGTCATGCACAACGTTACGTGTCAATAATTTTTTATCTTGTGATGAAATGAGCGTTTTCCGTACCAAGCATGTGTACTAAGAGATTGTTAAGAAGCGCATGGTTATGCTTTATTACGATTATTACGACAACGTCGAACGTTAACAACTTGGTTAACAACGTCCATTGTTATATTTCTAGACTTTCACTCAACTAAACAGGGACTGCCATTGGTTGATTCTTGGTCACGTGGCCTTGACAAAAATCAAATGTATCCCGACTGGGATACATTTGAGCAATAGTTCTCCGCTCGGGATACATTACAGCACGTGATCAAAGCATGGTGGAAAGTGGGGTGACAGAAGGCGGGAAAAAAAACACTGCCAGATTTCACACAACAAGAGCCCACAACACAACCATGAAGCCTCGAGCTAAAAACAACGATTTTCGAAGTTATCCCTGAAGAGAAACAGCAGCTAGGGGAGGAAAAAGATGCAGGTAATATAAGGAAAGTACTTGGCAAAACATTCAATCAGTGGTTTTGAGAATTAAATTTGAGTTCTTATAAGAACCGAGTCGACTGTTTTGATTCGCTCCGGTTATCAGTTATGCTTTTGTCGCTGTTGAAGTGAAATTCTAGCAGTATAACAAAACACTTAATGCCAGGTCCCTCTGGAAACCAGTTAGTTTTGTTTTCCCTCGATCTCTGACTCAAACAACAGGACTCTCGGGAAAACAAAAACTAACTGTTCCCCTCGGGATCTGACATTATGTGTATATTGTTATATAGCTGGAATTTTTTTAACAGCGCGCGCTCTCATTGGGTTACTTCGAGGTCAAGGACATCTAGCAATGAAACTGAATCCCGCCAAAACCTGTCAGCGCGCAATATTGCAAAATCTATGAGGTCAGAAGGTAACAGTGGACTGTTACCTGCGAATGTTGACCGATGACCGCCATTCTGCCAGGTTTAATGAATTTCCAGCTTCAAAAGTTTCATGTATATAACAAAT